CTCCTTCTCCTCCTCCTGCTCCTCCTCCTGCTCCTGCTCCTCCTCCTCCTCCTCCTCCTCCTCCTCCTCCTCCTCCTCCTCCTCCTCCTCCTCCCCCTCAGGCAAGCACCAACACCCATGTGGGCGGCTGCCTCCACCAAAGACTGATGCTCTGTGATGCTTGCGACATCCGGGCAGATTGCCACCCACGCCCCAAATCTAGGGTCACTTCTCCACGGTGGAGACCCCCCCCTTGTCCTGGAGGTTGATGTACCCGTCTCCAGGCCTCCAGGACCTCTCTCGGGGCGCTTGAAGGCCAGGATTCCGAAGCGAATCTCACCAGCGGCGAACATGTCCATATCCATAGGGCTCCCAACTTCGCGCTTCGCGCTGCGCGAAGCGCGGAATGCGAACACCTTCGCGCCCTCGCGCCGCCTCACAGGGGAGAAGAGGAGGATGAGGAGGAATCGGAGCCGAAGCGCGAAGCGCGAATGACTCCGCGCCCTCGAGGGCGCCCTTGATGTCCGCGCCCTCGCGGTCTGGGTTCCGGCGCCCGACCCCGTGGATACGCGGTCGCATGGATGCACGCCCCGCGAGGGGCCTCCGCGGCAAAAAGTGTCCCCAGTGTAGTTGCAGAGGGTCGCGGCCTGTGGCCCTGCCCGCGAGGGGCCGTGGCTGCGGCTAATTCTGCCTCTCGCCCACGAGAACCCTGGCCGTACAAGGGGAATTTGGGACGAAAAATGAAGAAGACCCAAACAAAATACTCACAAATGGTTCAAACAAAATTCAAAAAGTCGACCCCAGACTGTGTTTTGACTATTGCTGAAGATTCCTCCCGTAGACGGGCAGGCCCGACTGAAGGCCATCGGCGTCGGCATGCTGGTTCCGCTCTGACTGAGGGCCATCGGCATCGGCATGCTGGTTCTGAGTATCGTTTAACCGATCCCCATCCCCAGCGGCGTGGCCTGGGCCCCACTGGCCGATTTACCCCCCTGGATGGGGATATGGGTCGTTCCCTTCGGGTTTCGATGGGTGTATCCCCAACTGGGGTGGTAATTTGGTGGGGGTCTCGAAGGGGATGGGGATGGGGATGGGGATCTGTTAACTGATACCAAGCTTCAGCTCTGACGTCTTTTCGTTTTCCAGCCCGCTCGCTCGAGCGGCAGTCGGCAGAGAATGATGCAGCGGCTCTTCCGAGAGGCAGCGCCTCCGAAGGCGCGGCCACGGCCTGCAACAAGCGGCTCAAAACGGCCAGCCCAGGAAGCCGCACCGGAAAACAGGAAAGAGCCGGCGGTCGCCCCCAGGCGCCCGTTGACCCGCGCCTGAGGTCCAGCTCGGTCACACGTCATTTTTCCCCGCGCGACCGTCAGTGCCTCCGGCGCGGCTTCGCGTGCCTTCCAGCGCGCCCACTCCCAGGCAAGGCGGGGCAGTTCCAAAAAAAGGGCGGGCTCTCATGAGGTCGCAGCCACTGACTCCGAGAAATCCGGCCGGCGACTATCCTGAGTGACTCCGCCGGAAAGAAGCACCGCATACGACTCTGCGTGCTTATAAGCATCAGAATAAAGGCAATGAGCAAGTCAGGTGCAGGTACGCCATGCTTCCAGTAGGACGCGTGGGGAAAATAAAAGGCATTTACATTTGGCGCGAGCAGAGATACAATTTTCACGCGCCGGGAACACGATCAACAAACTACCCACGCGCCGGGAACAGGTCAAGCAAACTACCAGACGGCGCCAAAAGGGTAGAAAAGAAGAGGAGGGGAGGGAAGCAATGGAGGAAGAGAAGGAAGCGGAGGAGGAGGAAGAAAAGCAGATCGACGACAACATTAGACGTGCATTCGATGGAAAGAAGCCTTCTCGGACACCCACGCGGCCGATTGAGACGACATCCCAGCTTGCAAGAGCGGCGTGACAGTGTACAGCACGTCACGTGAACGCATGGACCTCTAGTAGACATAGACGTCAAGGAAAGCAGCTACATGCTCAGGTGAGTATCACGACTAAGACCGTCGGATGCGCTTCGGGCGCGCTCCAGTTCTAGCTGGTCTGGGCGTCAAGGCGTAGCGTGGAAGGCAGTTCATGCCATGATGATCCAGAGCCACATGGTGTCCTCGCCATCTTCGGCTAATACTGGGGCCCTTTATAGACCTTCTGTGGCCTCTGCCAGGGACGCCGTGGAACTACTTCAGCCGAGTTGCAAATCCGCTGGTTATCGGCCACCGTCCACTGCTTGAGGCGTGGTACAATGCCGAAGGATGCCTGGTAGGGCCTGTCTTCTTCTCAGAAGCGCCCCCCTTCTCCACGCAGAGTGCCGCATACACCCCCCATATCCTTTCTGCCTGTTTCGTGAAAAGCGGAGCTGCGCTCCCGAAGCCAGGATCCTTCGTCAAACACGAATGGCCCGCGCTCCATATGCCACGATCCCTCGCAATACAGTCATAGGTCCGCGCTCCCGAGGCCACCCCCCTCGTGGCCAACAAAAAAGCGGGGTCCGAGCTCCTGAGCCTCCAAGACGGCAGACGCAGGCAACCAAGGCCGCCGAGGTGACCCAGGATGCCTCCAAGACGGCCCAAGGTGGCCCCAGGACGGCACAAGATGGCCTCAACGCGCCCCAAGTCCCCCCAGACGGCCAAAGAGAGCCACACGAGGACTCCCAGTAGGGTCCCGAGAACGCAGAATCATAGATTTGCGCATGGTGCTTTAAAGATATTAGCGTCTTCACCCCCTCTGGCCTCCTGCAGCTCCAAACAGCCCCAGAGGCTTCCAAGACGGCCCCAAGAGGACCCCAACATGGCCCAACAATCGTCCATGACAGCTTCAAGACAGCCCAGGAGGGCCCCCGCAGCCCAGGACGACCCCAAGAGAGCCCTGGGCTGGCCCGGGGGGACCTCTGGAGGGACCCAAGACGTCCTCAGAGAGCCCCTCGACAGCCCCAGACGGCCCGAAGACGGCCCCACGACAGCCGCAAGACACCCCCCAGAGAATCCCGCTCTCGCCCGACACCCCCCGCAATCTATCCAGGAATCCCATTTCAACGCCCCGCCCGCCCGACACGCCCGTCAGGATCGGCTGCCCAGAAACCCGCCCGCGGCGGGACCCCGTCGCCGCCAGCAGGGCCTCGCGCTGTGCATTCAGGGTGTTGAACTGAGTGCCGAGACTGCGCACACTGGAGCCGATGCGCCCCTGGCGCGCACTCCTGCTCCTCGACGGTCTCGAGATCTGCGCCGGGACGACGGACAGGTCTACGACCTGCGTCGAACCGCCCGTGAAGGCCCACCCGCCCGACCCGCCGGACCCGCCCGGTGGGGTCCGCCGCCCGACCCGCCAGTTGGAGCCCGCTGCCCGCTGGGAGTGCCCCGCCCGCCCCGCCCAGCCCGTGAAGGTCCGCCCGCCCGGCCGGCCGTGCTCGCCCTGCCGGAGTTGACCCGGGAAAGCTGGCCCGAGCACGAGCGGCCCGCCCAAGCGGGGCACGCTTCGCAGGGAAGAGGGCGGGAGCGGAGGGCTTCCATCTCGTCGTGCCGAACAGAGCACGCGGGAAGAGCGAGCACCGAGTAGTCCGCAAGCCGCTGTGGCTGCCTGTTGCTGCGGCCCTCCCCCTCCCTTCTCCCTGTCCGCGTGAGGAGGGTGTTGCTGCTGCTGCTGCCTCCCTCTCTCCTCTCCTCTCCTCTCCTCTCCTCTCCTCTCCTCTCCTCTCCTCTCCTCCTCTCCTCTCCCCCTCTCCTCTCCTCTCCTCTCCTCTCCCTTCCTCTCCTCTCCTCTCCTCTCCTCTCTTCTCCTCTCCTCTCCTTCACCTGAACCTGTCCCGCTCTGCGTGCCGATGTCGCTGTTGCAACTGCTGCCCACGCCACCCGCGTTCCCCACCCCCCTCGCTCCAACCTGACCTTGGCCTTCCCCTCTCTCGGCGCCGAGGCTGCTCTGTCTGTTGATGCAGACCGCCCCTCCTTTCCTCCCTTCTCCTCCCCGCTCTCCCTGTTTCCATCGTCATGTTTCTGCCCCTGCTATGTCCTCCCCATTCCCTTGCATGTTCTCTCGTCTCCACGTTTTCCTCCCCTCTACATTACCCCCTACCTCGGCCGCAACAATAGCGGCAACAGCAACCGCAACAATATGTGTAAGACTGTCCGCTCCTCGTGGCTCGCGTGCCATTCAACGGATCTGCCCCAAAGCCTCGATGCATGCCCTCTTCGTCTTCGATCGTGCCCCTTTTTGGGGGTGTTGTATCTCCCGTGCGTGCCACGCGTAGTTGGCGCGGCCCCTAAAATAGGAGGAGGAGGAGGAGGAGGCGGAGGAGGAGGGAAAAGGAAAAGGGAGAGGGCGCGGAAAGGAGGAGGAGGGCACGATTAGGGAGGGGGGCAAGAGGACGGGTGGAGGATTGGGGTCGAAAGAGATGCAGCAGGAGAGGGAGGAGGGGGAGGAGGGGCAGGAGGGGGAGGAGGGGCAGGAGGGGCAAGAGCGGGTTGGGCGGGCGGGGCGTTACAGCGGGCGGGCGGGCATCCAAGCACGCGAACGGCCAGACCCCGACGGGCAGACACTGAAATGGGCAGGCAGGCTTCCAGGCAAGAGGACGGGCGGACCCTACTGGGCGGGTCGGGCGGGAGGACCATGCCAGGCGGGTCGCGCGGGCGAGGGAGGGCCGGGCGGGTGGGGCAGTGGAGCGAACTTCGCACAGAAGCCTCGGGCGAGAGCACGAGCCCCGAGTAAGGTGTGAGGAGGTGGACGTCGAGGGCGCATCGCCTCCGAAAACTGCGGGGGGCTTCCTGGGCGAGGGCGCCATTCCTAGGACAACAGCGAGGACGTCTAGAGCGAGAGCGCGATGCTGCAGCCGGTGGGGAAGTATCAAGCGGGCGCCGTCCAGGTGGCTGGGGGCCTAATACCACACTTTGAGCACGAAGACTTCCCGTAGTAAAAAAAGCATGCTGCGAGCCCCAGGGAAGGGCACCTCCATTGAAAAACAATGCGGGTCAGGCAAAGAAGATCATCAACACTTATTCTCTAGGGGTGAGAGTTCAACAGCCGCGGTAAAACTGGACAAACAAAACTCAAACATGGACCGCACTCTTTGCACACATACACAGATACACGCAAGCAGACGTGTACATGTGCATACGTAAATATATTTCTACTCAAGTTGCACTGTATGTATATACATGTACAAAAGTATATGCGTGTGTATGGTGCCCACCTCGACTGCATGGGCGACTCAACGGTCTTGACCACTTTAGCCAACAGCGCGTGCTTCTACCTCACAAACTCACTATCCCAATCGCTAGCTGCGCCAGGCAAGATGCTGCCACGACCACCAGCAACGTCAGCGACAAATGTTGCTGTTTTTCTCGCACCTTTCGGAGAGCAGCTGCTTAGCTGCTTACCTAAGATTTCCAGCGCCTCGTGCATCCACTGGACCTCACGATACAGCACGGCGACGTCCAATCTCGTAGCATCGCCTCGAAGCTTCAAGCACCCGAGCATGAACTCCTCCAAATCAACGGTCCCGTTCTTGTTGCTGTCGAGAAGGAAGAACAGCTTGCCCACCTGGTCGGAGTCAACGCCCAACTGGCTGAAGTATGCACCGACCTCGGGCTGCTGCATGCGCCTCTGCATCTGCCCCTGTGAGATTTCACCGTTTCCCTCGTCATCGAGCTCCCGGAACACCTTCTTCATGGCGGCGATGTAGTCCCTCTTCTCCATAATCGCGCTCTGCACCGCCAAGCCGCGGTCAGACTTGCACCGCAGCAGCGTGCTCTCGATCATCACCGCCGTGAGAACGTTCAGCAGAGCAATGAGCGAGAAGCCGATGTACAGCAGGAGCAGGCCCTGGAAGCCCCAGCCGAGCGGGTCCAGGTTCTTCCAGACCACCTCCCAGCAAGCACATGTCAGATGCCCGTTCTGGGGACCCTCCTGGAGCCACTCGCTCCACTCTTGCGCCGATGCTGCGTCCAACGTCCGTCGACTTGAGTCGAGCCTGAGCCGAGCTAGAATCGAACAGGAGTTGAACTGGATTCGAACTGGACTTGAACAGATCCGTTAGGTGGGCCCCAGAAGGGTCCCCCAAACGACATCTAACACATGTGAACCCTACCCCTGCAAGTCAGAGTTCTGAACAATGGGCTGGTGGTCAGAATTCGATGGATGTCTGCAGCCAGGTGAATCCCATCAGGGGTGTCCGATGCTCCCACGTCGAGTGGACCTGTAGGGGTAGGGTTCGCCAGTGGCCGCAGAGCCTCCCAATCGACGCCGCCGGTGATCACCTGGAAGAGCGTCAGCACGGCGTCGAACAGCGAGCCGAAGCGCGCGAGGAGCGCAGCCGACCCGTCTGGCGCATCGGCCGCGGGTGGCCCGTTCTGCGCCACGAAGGCCAGCGCTCCCTCGGACAGCACGGTGCCGAAGATGAGCAGGATCATGAGGACCAGCAGGCTGGACCACACCATCGCCTTGACCGCCCCCGTGAGCGACAGGACCATGATCCGCAGCTCCCGGAAGAAGCGGTGCCGGCGGATCACGTCGGTCACCAGCACGAGCGACAGGACCCTGGCGAGGCGCAGCGTGGAGAGCATGGCGAGCGAGGTCCGGAAGCGCGAAGAGGACCTCTGGTGCCGATGCGAGTGCTGGCCGATGGCCTGCAGCAGCTGTGCCACAACGACCACGACCTGGAACCTCTGCCACCCCCTTCCGTCAGAGTTGATCGGGTTGAGCTGGCCAGCCGCGAACCTGAAGCAGAGATCAAGGACGAAGAGCACGCAGGACAGGTCCTGGAGCACCGTGAAGAGCACGGTGTCGTCGATGCCCGCGCTGCTGTGCAAGCTAGATGTTGCACGGTTCGCTGCGTCCTGCATATCCCATGCCACAAGCACGACATCCAGAATCATCAATATGATACGGGCAATGTCGAACTCGGTGCGCTTCACCAGCCGTGGTATGAAGTCGGCCGACCCTGACCTTGCGGGACGGAAATTCTGGTTGAGTTTCGCTGACATCACTGACATCCTCCGGTGAATTTCAGTCAAAGGCTGCGAGCGCGCCTGCGTCTCCTCCACCAGGCCGCGCATCCAGTTCCGAACGGAACCCTCCGTGTGGATGGACTCCCGCTCCCTCCTTAGGCCCCTCAGCGAGGGCGGCATGCTGTCCACGGTCTCGAGGCTGATCCTCGAGGCCACGCTCAACCTCTGCTCGGTCGGGACGACGGGAAACACGCGGCGCTCCGAGGTCCTGGGCGGCAGCTGCAGGCCCACGGGGTGGGACGGGAGGTCCTGCCCCCTATCGGCGGGCCCCAGGACGGGAGGCCTGGGGCGCTCGGGCGGCCCGGGGGCCTTCGGCCAGAGGCCCCTGTGCCTGTCGAAGACGGCCTCCACGTCGAGCCGAAGGCTCTCGAGCGCGTCGAGCAGGCGAGGTGCGTCGGCCACTGCAGAGGAAGCATCCCCGCTCGGGCCGGACGGTGCCTCGCGCGGGTCTTCGGCGTCCGCCATGGCCGTGGTACCTGCCGCCGAGAACGAGGACCTGAGCTCCTCGAGGCTCGAGCCCAGCTGCAGAGCCGACACGGGAAGCGCTCCTGGGCGCTCTCGGGGCGCGTCGCGCGCGACGTTTCCAGGGGCCTCGGGAGCGTGGCTGGGGGCCCAAAACTGTTACTACGACTTCAAATGGTCAAGTGGCCCGGTCGGTCAGTATTCGAGGCTCTGGGAGAGGGCCCAAGAGGCCCGCATCACCTGAAAGCACGATGCTTCTGATGACTCAGACTTTTCAAGACGGCCCACGAGGCCCACACGATCGCCGCAGGACAGCGCCCCAGCCTCCAAAAGGAGCCCGAAAGGCTGGGAAGTCGACAATGGCAGTCAGAACCCTCCACCCCAAAACCCCAAGACGACCCCTAAAGCCACCAGCAGGCCCTCAGCAGGCACCCAAGAGGGCCCCAACTGGCCCCAAGAGACCCCGAGAGGCCCCTATGGGCCCCCAAAGAGCCACAAAAGGGCATCCCAAGAGATCCCCAAAGGCCTTTAAGAGGCTTCTCGTCGACGGTCGACGCATCCCCCCTGAGCCTATCCATCCAGAACGTCGGCCCTGGTCACTCTCCTCCCACCTCCTGCCAACCCTCCTCGTGGCGCCAGAAAAATAGGCCCTTCTGCCAGCCGCTCGCGAGCGCTGCCGAGGAAGAGGAGGAGGAGGAGGAGGAGGAGGGGAGAGGAGGAAGGAGAGGAAGGAGGAGGCAAGGGAGGAAGGAAAGTGAGAGGAGGAGAAGGAAGGAGTAGGAACCGAGTCCCCTCCTCCACCATCTCCTCTCCTCGCTCCTGACCTGCTCCCTACGCTCCTCCTCCACTCCTCCTCCTGCTCCTCTTCCTGCCTACCCCTCCTCCTCCTCCCCGCCTCCTCCTCCTGCTCCTCCTTCTCCCTCCTTTGTACTGCTTCTTTCTTCTTCTTCTTCTTCTTCTTCTTCTCATCCTCCTCCTCGTCCACTTCCTCTTCCCCTCCTCCTCCTCCTCCTCCTCCTCCTCCTCCTCCTCCTCCTCCTCTCCTAAACCTCAATGGACAGGGAAGACATTGCCAAACAAGGCACACACATACACATAACAACGTAGAGCACCCTGGGTGCATCGACTTCCTCAGACACGGATCCTCCAGGGCAGTCTGAAGAGGATAGCCTTGTCGTCCTCCCCCCCGGCCCGCGGCGTCTGCCGGGGCCGGCACTCTTCTTGCTGACCGCAGACCTGGCGGTGTTCAGGGACCTGGCTGTGTTCAGGGACCTGGCAGTCATCCTGTGCGTGCGGGCGCCACCGCCGCCGACATCGTCATCGTCATCAACTTCGCCGTCACCGGCGCCGTCGCCGGCGCCGTCGCCATCGTCGACGTCATCGTCACGACGTCACGACGTCGTCACCGCCGTCACCGTCGTCACCGCCGTCACCGTCGCCATCGCCATCGCCGTCGCCGTCGCTGTCGGTGCCGCCGTCGCCGTCGCCGCCGCCGTCGCCGTCGTTGCCGTCGACGTCGTCGTCGTCCTCCTCCTTCGCTCACAGGAGGTTGCTTCCCGCAGGGCTCCCGAGGCCAAAGCGTCAAGAAAGTATGAGGGTGCCTGTGGGTTGCTCTACGCGCTGCCACGCCGCTCCCAGGCAGGCAGTGCTGCCAGGCGAAGGGGGAGGAGGAGGAGGAGGAGGAGGAGGAGGAGGAGGAGGAGGAGGAGGAGGAGAGGAGGAGAAGGAGGAGGAGGAGGAGGAGGAGTGGAGAAGCAGGCAGACGAATACGAACGCGCAGGCGGGAGGCCGGTGGGCGGGCCGGTGGAAGGGGGAACCGGGCGGAGACAGCAGGCAGGTCCTCGTCCTCGTCTCCTCTCCTCCTCCTCCTCCTCCTAATCCTCCTCCTCCTCCTCCTCCCTGCCGTCGCCGTCGCCGTCGACGTCGCCATCGCCGCCGCCGCCGCCACCGCCTCCGCCGCCGCCGCCGCCGTCGGCGTCGCCGTCTCGACGTCGTCGGCGCTGTCGGAACTTTCGCAGTCGTCGTCGTCGTCGTCGTCGTCGTCGTCGTCGTCGTCGTCGTCGTCGTCGTCGTCGTCGTCGTCGTCGTCGTCGTCGATGTCGTCGTCGTCGTCGTCGTCGTCGTCGTCGTCGCCGTCGTCGTCGTCGTCGTCGTCGCCGCCGCCGCCGCCGACGCCATCGTCGTGGTCGCCGTCGCCGTCGTTGTCGCCGTTGTCATTGGAGAAAGACGACGACGAGGGAGAAGGAGGACGGAGACGAGGAGGGAGGAGGCGCCAGGGATGGGGATGGGGATTGTGGAGGAGGGAAAAGGCGGAGGAGGAGGAGGAGAAGGGAGATGGAGGAGGGAGAACGGAGGAGGCAAGGAATGGGCCCAAACCGCACCAAAATATCGATGTGCGATTCTCTTTACCCTCCTGAACCAGACCCCCGACGCCGTGATAGGTGGTCATGACATGGACCTCTGGAGGTCTCGAAGCATTCCCCAGGACCTGACATAATCGAATTTGGAAGGTCCCAAGGCCCTGTGAGGGTCCCCAGAAGCCGAAGACTAGCAAAACAATTGGCGTCGCGGCTTGTCTCGCCCGAGACAGGTTCTGCAGGCCATGGGGCCTGGCAAGGTTTTCCTCGAAGACGCACATGGGTTTAGTCTGGCCTGGACTCGGGGGCTCAAAATCTTCCCTGGACCCATCCTCGGGGTGCATTCTGGCCAGAATTTCGAGGCGAAGCGGGCCCCCCCATTGTTGTGAGTTGAGGTGTTGTGGAGTCACAGACGCTCGTGCGACAAGATGCCGCAAGGAACTGCAGAACGCACTAGCACATTGTACAAACAAACGTCGTAGGGAGGAGAGCGACTAGAGCTTGGAGGAAGACGAGAAAAAACTCCCGCGAGACCGTCCACACACGGATTGTCCTCCTCCCTCATCAGCTCCTCACCCCTCCAACCCCCCCCCCCCCCTCCCTCCCCTCCTCCTCCTCCTCCTCCTCCTCCTCCTCCTCCTCCTCCTCCTCCTCCTCCTCCTCCTCCTCCTCCTCCTCCTCCTCCTACCTCCTCCCTCCTCCTCCTCCTCCTCCTCCTCCTCCTCCTCCTCCTCCTCCTCCTCCTCCTCCTCCTCCTCCCCCTTCCTCCTCTTATCACCGACTACACGTCGTTCATTTCTAATCGTGCTCATTTCTAATGGCGCTCGTTCCTAATTGTTCCTGGCCCCCTAGTGGCCAGGAAGAGGCCCAGGACAGAACAATTAGAAATGAAAGGATCTTGGCCCTCAAACAAATCGATTAACTTTAGAACGGTGAGAAATGATCCATGTGTACTCCATGTTAAGATGCACTCTCACTCCGCCACCTGGCAAGCTAATTGGCGCCCAATATGAGGGGAGCATCCTGCCCATAAGAAGATCAGAACCACGCGCGCGCTTCGTGCGCGCTTCGGTTCTAGCCAGTTCTGGTTGTAGTCTAAAGTGTTCGGCGTCGGAAGACATATAGTGTCACACGAATCAAGCCCCTCATGAAATTGCATCGACACCCCTCAAAGGGATCGCGCCCCACAGGGATCTCCACCTGCGTCCCCAGAGACAAGATTGGCATAGTGGCACGTCCCTCACGCGGATCGTGCCCGGCAAGTAACTGGATTTGCGGCAACAGAGGAAAGTTTCATAGCGTCGCCCAGCTGACTTCGGCACACCTACCACACGGACGGTCCCAGAGGCAAGGTACGTACGCCGCCATCCCGCCTACTTCGGCACGCCACTCGCACGGATCGTGGCCCACATGGATCTGCACCTATGGCACCAGAGGCAGGGTTCGCATTGCGCCCCCCCGCCCATTGCGACACACCCCATCATGCGGATCGAGCACACAAGGAACACCACCTAAACGCCAAGAGACATGGTTCGCACAACACCCACCCGCCCATAACGGCACACCCGTCACGCGACTCATGCCCCAGAAGGAGCTCCACATATGACACCAATGGGCAGCTTCGCATGGCGTCCCCCCGCCCATCTCAGAATATGGCTCGCACGGGTCGTGCCCGGAGGAAGTCCACTTGCGGCCTCAATGGGCATGGTGTTCGCGCGGAGGCATTCGAAATCTCCGGTACACCCTTCACGCGGATCGTGCCCCACAAGGCGTTCAGCGCGCACGTGCTTGCGTGCTCCGCAACCGCCCGCTTTCCGCATTGCCCCGCGGCGCGCAGTGTATGAAGAGAGACCCGCGCCTGCGCTACACGCGACTGCATAGGGATGGGTCCGTCGACAAGGCATCTGCTTGCTCATCTATGGCCTTCGGCCCTTACCGCTGCAGTGCCTGGGTTCTGGGCCAGAGGATTCTTGGATACCTGTAACTCCGGGGCTGTTGGCATGCTTCTCGGGCGCCACGTGGAGCGACTGCTGAAGCTCCTTGGGGCATCTTGGGAGCCGTTTCGGGGGGCTATTGGGGCCTCTTTGGGGGGTGATTGTGTTCTTCTTGGGGGCCTCTTGGGGGCCCGCTGGCGGCCCCTGGAGCCCACTGGAAGCGGAGGGCTTCATATGTCAATGGAAGCTCCTCCTCGTGGATCCCTCTTGGGGCCCCTTGGGCCGTCTTAGGCGCCTCTTGGGCAGTCGTGTGGCTCTCTTGGGCCGTCCTGGGGCCCTCTTGGGGGCCTCTTCGGCCATCTTGATGCGCTCTTTGGGGACTCTTTGGCCGTTTTGGACGCTGTGCAAACCCAGAGTGAGACGACGCTAACAAAAATACGCTGTCCTTTGGGAATTTATCCATTTTGTCTCCCTGGGCCCTCTCGGGTCGCATCTTAGAGCCTTCTCAAGACGTCTTCGGGGCCTCCTGAGCCGTCTTGAAAGAATGTGCGGGCGTTTTCGGCCGTCAGGCCGCTCTGGTTTCTGTTTGGTGGCCTCCAGAACGGCGGGAAGGAGGCCTGGGAAGCCGCAGAAGGAGTCAAAAATGTGGTGGGCCAAAATGGGTGGCGGAATTCTGGGAGGGTGTCCCAGCTTGGGCCCTGGGCACCCGGCACCCAGCCATATCTTATCCGCCACCGTGGCTCTGGGCACGGAGTGGGCGTGTCCTCAGGT